ATATATATATATATATATATATATATATATATATATATATATATATATATATATATATATATATATATATATATATATATAGAACAGCCGTAGCGCAGTGGTTAGAGTTCTGGCTCAGAACCCAGAGATCCGAGGTTCGGATATTAGTACGGAAGGAGGACTGAACTTCCAGTTAAATGCTCTCCCGCGGTGCTCTATGATAAGACCGTAAGGACTTCTGGGAGCATACAAATACATACAAAAAATATATATATATATAAATATAAATATATATCTACCCTCGGAATTAGGAAAAATTAGGTCAGCAATAATTTGCCGACCTCAATCTTTTAGAGATCAGCATCAGGTCGGCAAGAAAAATTTAATACAAAGGTTCTACCATAAAATATAGAAATGAGGTCAGCAATTTTTTTCCGACCTAAAACACTTTTAGGTTGGCAGTTAGGTTGACATTGCTGATTGCCGACCCTTATTCCGAGGGCTGATTTGCCCATTTTAGTTTTCCTAATTCTGAGGGTTGTGTATGCATGCATACTCACCTGTATTTGCATTGGGTGGCAGTTGTCGAGGAACTACCAACTTGAGTATTCCATAATATAAAAGTGTGTCAATTTCTTCAGTCAAGCTTACTCTCGCTGAATCAGCTGTGTCAGAAGACTTTAATACACATATCTCGTCAACAATCTGAATTAAACAGTAATAAAAAAAAGCATACAAACAATTTTAAAAAGCAAAGAAAACTTATAGGATTACCCATTAGAATATTGCAGTTTTGAAATAATAAATACTTACTTTAGTAACGATTTTTGAAATTTGAAACACTGTTAGATTTTTTCCAATAAAAATATAAAATCAACAATGAAAAAAAAATCTTACCACGGTTACATTAGAGAAACATAGATACTTTTCTAAAACTGTTATAGTTCTATCAACTCTCTCAACTGAGCATTTATCTAAAGAAAAATTAGCAATAATAATATCAAAATAGCAATAATATTATGAACAATAACAATAAGTAATAATGATGTGAATAATAGTAAAATAATGTTATAATAAAATTTATATTACACATAATTATATATATATATATATATATATATATATATATATATATATATATATATATATATATATATATATATATATATATATTAAACTGCTACAGAAAACTAAGTAGCGGAAAAAACCAGAAGCCTTTTGAAAATATTATTAAGTTATAAATTATAGACGGTACTTGCAGTTAATTTTTTGGTAAATTGTTACTTTAATTGCTATTACTTTATTATATAAAATTTATTTAAAATTTTATTTTATTTATTTAAAATGCAGTAGTGGTGTAGTGGTAGAGCGCTCGCTTCATAAGCGAGAGGTTCCGAGTTCAATACCCATCACGCCCCTGGTAGTATCGCGCTCAACTCGTTTCTCCGCGCCTCCTCGTCTGTAGTGGCCTTCTCGGCCTTGAGGAGGTGAATTAACAAAATATATATATATATATATATATATATATATATATATATATATATATATATATATATATATATATATATATATATATATATATATATGTATATATATATATATATATATATATATATATATATATATATATATATAATTTAACTTCCTTATATAGTTTAATCATATTACATAATATAAATAGATTTTAAAATATTGTGTTATATAATAATATTTATATTATATATTTGTATATTACTCAATAAATAAAAATTTATACTTGTGCTACATAATCATATATACTATATAACAAAATGTAATATAAATGTATTGTATAAGTATGCTTTTTAATCTAGCTAAAAGTTAAATAAACAACATAAAGTTTGACATAAAATGCCTTATTTTGCAGTAACACACTTTGATGCTCGTCATAAATGTTGCTGTATATGCTATCAAAAAGCAGACAGAACACTTTCAGATACAGCTTTGATACTCATTAAAACATTGGTTTCACCAAACTATAGCATTAATAATCCATCCTTTTCGACTGGAATATGCAATACCTGTAACAGAGTATTATTACTACATGGAAAACCCTATGTGGGAACTTCTCGTCTTCTTCGTATACATACACTTGCAGCATCAGGATTAGTTCTCTCCGTCCTAACCAGAAGTAAAAATCTCTGTGATCGTGATTTTAAAAATCTCTAAAGTAGTAAAATCAACAATACCTGGAACAAAAAGAACAAAACCTAAAGGTAGACCAAGAGCTCAGGAAAAATCATTCAAAAAAGTATTTATAACTATATGTAATCAGTGCTTTTAATCCATTGATTCATTACGAGGTCATAATTGTACAAAGGTTTTTGGTTCAACAAACCTTCGTCAGATGATTGAAAACTCCTTGAATCAAGAAACAGGAGAAAAATTAGCTGCAGAGAAAAGTTTGAAGAATCAGAAATTGGATCCCTTAAAACAGGAGGGTGATCATTTACAGTTTCGAAAAGATCAATCAAGCCTACTTCAAAATGAAGTCACAAAGATTTGATGACTATTAAGGTTGATAGAAAGTTGTCTGGTTCTGATATGGATGCAATATCAAAAGCAATTCGGGTTAAGCATGGTCGAAAATCAATAAAAGCTGGGTTTAAAGAATTCATGGTATATAACAATGGTTCTTTAGTAGAGTACTTCTCAGCAGGTGACCTTGATTTCTATAATTCGGAAACTAAAACTTTAATTGTGCGACCTGTTGTTCTAGTTAAAGATGTGAAAGAACTCACCTGGAAAATGATTGAAAAAAGAAAACAAGACGCTTTTAATGTTAAGGTGAAAGTATTTGTTGATAGTGGTGGAGGTTTCTTTAAGCTTGGAATTGGTACTATTGATGTGGCAAGTTATTTTAGTGATGATATTACCAAGAGATAAAACTATTCCGAGGGCATTTGTCCGAACCTAAAAAAAGAAACGTCCGTTGATCAGACATTACTCATAGGAAAAGTCCTAAATATTCAGGAGAATTATGAAAACTGTGCTGTCTTTTTCAAAAATATTGATTTTAGATATATTCAGTTTAAAATTTGCGCTGGTTTGAAACTACTTAACTTAATTTTAGGACTTTAAAATCATAGTTCAAAGTATCCTTGTTGCTTCTGTAATAAGAGTACAGATTGTGAAAATTGGCTTTACTCTAGAGGAGATAAACGAACCTATCAATTAGAGAGCAAAATCTTGCTTGAAAACAAGAATGAAATTCTGACTCATTACTGAAAGAACTTTATAATTGCTAAAATTAACCACTTCTGCCAGGAGATGATGAAACTGAAGTTATGGAAGTATGCAATATACCCGAACTTCATCTCAATACAGGAACAATTAATCTATTGTGGAATAACTTATCAACAAGATGGGGACAAGAAAATTGGGAAATCTACTTAGAAAGGAATTGCCTTGTCAGACAAAAAATTCACGATGGAGAGTTTGAAGGAAACCAGTGTAAGAAATTGATGAGATTGACAAATATGCTTAGAGATGCTCTTCCCCAAGATTTTAGGAAATTTTGTGATGTTTTTGATGCTTTCGACACTGTGGCTTACTCGTGTTTTAGCAAGATACTCAGTATGGATTTTGAAAAAGCAATAGATAATTAATAGATGATTTTTTTGATATTTTTATTACTTTAAAGATCAAAACAAAGAGTACAAAACTCCATATATTATTTTGCCATGTAAAGGAGTTTTGCAGAAATAATGGATACGGACTAGGAATTTACAGCGAACAGGCAGGAGAAACTATTCACTCGAAATTCAGTGAGTTTTCCAGATACAAACCTCCAAGTGATTTCCACAAAGAAACATACAAAAACGATCTATTACGTGTTGTACTTTCATACAACGCGGAGAGAATATGAGGCTTCATTATGTTCAATCTAAAACAACTAACAAAATCTTTAAACTAAAATATTTTATTATTGATTTTGATAGGAATCTTTAATTTATTGATCTGAAATATAGTATATGTTATTTTAAAAAATGCTATTTATTAAAGAGTTAGCTTATTAGCTACTAGTCTATGCCTTAAATAAGTTTTTCTACAAACTTTATTCTAAACCTGTTGTTTTTTTGTATATGTTAATGAGAGAAAAACACACTTTTTTTTATATCACAATAAGCACCATTTTTTTTCAGGACACACTTTTCAAATTTTGTAAAAAAAATTTTTTGGGATCACTATAATCATACCTTGATAAAAAAAAATTAATTTGGGCGTGTGCCTTTTTTTGAAACATAATCACTGTTGTGGGGAGGTGTGATCACTAGTAGTTACAGCCTGTTAGCGGACTGTTACAACCGTTGGCACCTGCCAGTGTAAATTTATTGACTGATAAATTAATATAACATACAAGGAGTGTACATACATAGACAGACAAATAGGTAGAACATGCAAGGAGAGCCGCTACATTGACTGAGGGTTTTGGTTAGGTCAGGGATTATTTCGAGGGAGATTTTTTCCTTGAACAGTTTTTTATTCCCATTCACAAATTAAAACACATATCCGATTTGTAATCTGTATATAACGATTTCACAAAATTTAACTCATTTCATAATAATTTTTTGTTTATTTTATATTAGATAAAGAAGAATTTGGAGTTTACCGGACAGTATTTGGAGGCACTTCAAATATTTTATATAAAAACTGCAAATGTAATTTTTTATTTAATAAAAAGCAAATATATTGCAAATTTGATACTAGATTTCTGAATGATACAATGAAAAACTTTCCATAAAAATGTTTAACTTTAAACGCGAAATAATAATGCTAACTGAATAATTGATCATTTAAATAGCCGATTCAACAAATTAAGCACCATAAAGCACTAACTTAAGATTTATTTTATTAAATTGAAATCCATATACGTCAATTTATTAAACAGAAGTATATTGATCATTCTTCATTTGATTGTATATATACGTAAATGTTTATATACAATTAAATGAAGAAGGATCCCTTTCTTTTTAAAAAAGTGCAAAAAAAAAAAAAAAGCCTTTAATAATATTTTATATTCTATTTTAATAAAGCAAAAAATAATAATTTATTGACACGTAAAATGTTTCTTAATTAGAGATCATTTAGCTTTCAAATCACTTCATCCAGAAAAAATAACTTTAAATTCAGCATGGCTTTTATCAGTTAAGAAAAACTTTGTTCCATCAACATTACCCCAATTCCCTGCTCTTGTAGGATATCTAGCACCATTTTTTCCGTTATACAAATCTGAAAAACCTTTTTTATGGTCCGATAGATGTACATTTGCCCAAGCACTATATAAATTCCAGTCGTAAGGAATGGATGCCATTATGCTAAGAATTTTGTTGTCATATTCATAATGAACAACACCTGCTGCCCCTGTTGCAGCTCCTCTAGATTTTTCCCACACAAACACACCCGTACTTTGTGGAGGAATATCTGCAAAGATTGTAGACATACTTCCTGATTCTTGTGTTGTTCCTAAAGCATAAAGAGTTTTAGTGGATCTGTTTTCGACGGCACATTTCCAATATCTCACAGTATTTTCTTTCCAAACATCATCAATTTGTTGCAAAGCAGCGTCTACACTAACCTTTGCTATAACTCCTAAAGCTGCACCACCTGCTGCTCCAAAAGGTAATTGAATGAGTATAACCACTAAACATACATACACTAGCATAACTGAATTTCCAATATTTCTAAAATGAAATGAATAAAATATTTACTATCTTACTTGTATAGAGTAAAACAGGGGCTAACATAAAATAGAGGATGAAATGAAATAGTTATGCCAATGTTTTTTTTTTTACTTTTTTAAACTTTTGTAAATATTTTTTGATTATGTTTTAGAAAATATCATTCTGATGATATAAATTATAATATAAGATAAACAATTTTTTATTGATAAATTGTTTATAGAAGTGTTAAACTTTTTCACTTTTTAAAAAATGAAAAAGCATAAAATTCTTAAAAGTGAAAGCTTTTTCTTATTTATTTTTTATTTATTTCGTCCTTTGAAATAAGTTTTCCAATGTTTTTACAACACAACAAAATAAGTTTTTAGATAACTCCGACTGGAACTGGCAGAATACATGATCGTATCATTCAGCTTCGTTTTTACAAATTTAGATATAATCTTGTATATAATACACACATAAACTTGCTACTAGTGAACTAAATTTGCTACCAGTGAATTTGAAATGTAACCTTGCATAACTTTTTTTCTGATAAAAGGTTATGAATTAAAAACGGAAACGGTGAATCTATGAATGAAATAAGCTAATTGTTAGCTTTGGCAAACGAGACTTCTATTAATTAACTGACTAATCTCTTTTAACTTTCGTATAAATTTTAAAGAAATTATTTTCAAATCTATTCTAACTAAAAACTTGCACTTTAAGAAAAAAGAAAAACCATACATAACCAACTACTTGTGACACTAAACTCAATTCTATTTGTTTTTTAACGGTACACTAAGATAGACCGGTACACTAAGATAGACCGGTTCAAGATTTTCATTAATCAGTTGAGTCATGAGCTGTTGCCAATATTTCATCACTAAGTGCTGCTTCTTGCATGTAAAAAATAAAAGCAAAGTATTTAATCATTAAAAACAAACACTTTGTGTTATTGGTGAAATTTTGATAAAACTGGCTTCTCTGATATTCAAGGCAAGCAACTCGTAGCTTGCAAACGTGGCGCTAAATGACGATTAAAATTGGTTGGAACTAAATCTCTTTAGAGTTGAAAATAATTCTGTTAATAATTGTTTTCTACGATACATTATTTTCAAATCAATAAATAGTTTATACAAAAGCTAGTTCTTGAGTTGTCTAGACAATGCTGTGAACCCTATCTCCATCCGGATGGATGAAAGATAAGCAATTAATGCAGCTTGCAGAATAATCAATTTATGCATTATTAAAAGAACCTTGAAATGTATTCTTTTTCTAAATTTTACCCAACACAAATAGCTAAATTCCTAATCGTTTACATTATATTCTACTCTAGTTTTAAATACTAGTCAATTTTAAACAGACTGCAGTTTTTTTAATAGTGTCTTTTCAATTCCAAAGTAGAGAGAGTTGCAATAATCTAGCTGTGCAAATATTAGTGAACATACAATGATGCACAAATCTTTGTGCGATAGAAGAATTGTTTTATTTTGGATATGTGGTAGTGGTGTAGTGGTAGAGCGATCACTTCACAAGCGAGAGGTTTGGAGTTAAATTCCCACCACGTCCCTGGTAGTACCGCGCCAACTTGTTTCTCCGCGCAGCGGCCTTGTTTGTTAAGGTTTGTGTTTCTGAGTTATAGAGTTAAGAGAGGGTTGTAACCACAAGTAGTCTCCTCATCTGCAGTTGCCGTCTGTAGTGACCTTCTCAGTCTTGGGGAGGTGAATTACAAAAAAAAAAAAAAATGTAAAAAGCGATATGTAAAAAGTACCAGATTTCATTGCAACAAAAAGTGCACAAGTAACAACTCTACTTGTGAACATCTCAACGGCTCTATAGTTTTTGTCTGTATTGTAATCACCGCGCAGAGCAATACTTTGTTTGGCTCAACATTATTACAAAAAAAATTACTATACAAGCTATTTAATCCTACTTATTATTATTATTTATTTCAGTGATCAAATACAAATACAATAATTAATTTATAATTTGATGAAGAGATGCTACACCAGGTCCCTCTATGCTGACGAACATGGAGATACAGAAGCTACAGACAAAGCAGCAGTTGGGGGCCGTCCATAAAGGATGTCATCCAAATAGGGGGGGAGGGGGTCGAGTTAAAAAGGACAAAAAAGGACAAGGGGAGGGGGGAGGTTGTCACAAAAGGACGTCACTTTATAGATTTTTTATTTTAGTTTAATTAACATGGAAAACTACGTAAACATGTGTTTTTAAGAAGATAATGTATGAGAATATTTTTAATTTTATTTTTCAAAGGTGTAGCAGCAGATTCAAACATCATTGCGAGATAAAATAAATTTTTTTGGAGTTAAAAATAATGGGGGGGGGGGTTCAGGATTTTATGACGTCCTTTTCAAGGGGGGTATAGGGAAAAAAGGCAACCGGTGACAAAGGGGAGGGGGGTGGGAGGGGGTCAAAAATTGGCTGAAAAATGGTGACTTCCTTTATGGATGGCCCCTTTTATCTATAAAGTTACTTTCTTATGTTGCTTTTGAAAGCGTTGATGGATTGAGCGTTCACTGCTTCTTGCGAAAGCGCATTCCATGGGGCAAAAATTCTATTTGAAAAAAAAATTATATCGCTCCTCACAGTTTTTTACCATCTGGCGTTCTAGTTTATGGTTATGGCCTCTTAGAATATACTTATCTTTACTTTTTGAAAATTTTTGTGGGACGACAAAACTGACAAGCTTGAGTTTACCAGTGATTTTGAATTGCTCGATAAGATCTGCTCTTTTGCGGCGTTCTTCAAGAGTTGTTAAACCGAGCCGTTAGAGTCGATCTTCATAGAACAGGTGTTTAATAGTCGATATTATTTTTGTTGCTCGTTGTTGGACTTGCTCGAGAATGACAATGTCTGATTTTAAATTAGGTGACTAGGCTTGTAGAAAAAACTCAAGATGGGGGCGAATGTAAGTGAGATACAGAGTGCGCTATAAATAAAAACTGCGACTGCGAAATGTTTTTTTGAGTCGCCCTAGCATTCTATTTGCAACTAATGCGCCTGACTCTATTTGCGGTCTGATTTTAAGATCATTCGAGACCATCACACCAAGGTCTCTTTCGACTGCGGTTTTTTCGAGAGGACGACGGGTGCCGTCGACGTTAGACATTGAGTATTTGTACGTCGACTTGTTACATCCGCGCCCAACATGCATAATTTTGCATTTCTCAACGTTGAAATGCGAGAGCCAAATATGTGACCATTCCACTGATCTGTCAACGTCATCTTGGAGAGTGATGCTGTCCGACTCCTTTTTAATTATCCCTATTATTTTGCTGTTGTCGGCAAACAGTTTCATATGATGAGTAATTCTGTCCGACAGGTCGTTTACAAAGATTACGAATAGCAATGGGCCCAAGACCAAGTCTTGAGGCACTCCACTAGTGACTGCTTTCCTTTCAGAAGTAATGCTGTTTATAACCACTCGCTGACATTGACTGTTTTTTGATTTTAGCCAAGCTGCAATCCAGTCAACGAGAGCGCCTTGAATGGCTCATTTGTTATAATAAGGTCGAGTGTACCAGTAGGCTCGACGTGTCGACTACTACGGTAGGTTGGGAATGTGATAAGCTGAGTTAAGTTACATTCATCAAGGCACTTCTGGAACCTGATGTCGCCTTGACACTCACCTCTCACGTCAGCAACAGTTCCAATGCCACCGCTAACTTCGATAGGCTCATAAGTAGTATGGCAATATACTATGATTTGAAAGTAGAAATTAATTAATAAGCTAATAAGATGAAGCAATAACAGAGAAAGAAACAGTCAGAAAAAAAAAAAAAAATAAGAGCAAAAAGAATAAAAGAATACGAAAAAAAAAAAAAATATATATATATATATATATATATATATATAAATATATATATATATATATATATATATATATATATATATATATATATATATATATATATATATATATATATATATATATATATATATATATATATATATATATATATATATATATATATATATATATATATATATATATATATATATATATATATATATATATATATATATATATATATATATATATATATATATTATATATATATATATATATATATATATAATCCTGAAACTTACGCTCAAACAAAAACACGTCTTATCGACTCAAAGGTTTAAGCGCAAAAAATTTTAAATGCCGCAAATAATTATAAACTTTGATAAATAATTTTATATTTTACGTTAGCTTTGAATAAACAAATAGAACTTGTGTGTAGAACTTGTAAAAACGTAGTATTGAACTTGCTACAACTATTAAAAAGTTGTTTTGTTCATGTAAGGCAATTTTTTTTAAATAAATTTGCGTTTTCCTTTTTTTATTTAGAGTTTTATGTTTCATGAATTTAATAATTAAATTTAAATATTATTGTATAATATTTATTATCTAATAATTGCAGTTTGCAATCGGATTATTTAAAACAATTTGAATTTTCGCATAATAATAATAATAGTTTCAAATTAGATTAGATAAAAAAGTTTGTATTAATTATAGTAACATTACGTAACAATGTATTATATGATTTCCTTTAGTGGCATGTCTTTAAAACGAAAATTGTCTCGAGCGGAAGAGAAGCGTCTTAAACGACTGTATGAAATGTTGAAAGGGGGAGATACCAACAGCACTATTACTTCTTTCTATGAAAGAAAACTTCTCCTAGCTCTACCTCTAAACTACTTCTAGCTCTGTAACTAATTATTTTTACTAGATAATACTTCAAACTCTAACAGATTTTTGACAGTACTTTTTCTACTGCATCTCTTGCTACACCTGGCACTGCTGTTACTACTTCTTCTTATTTTGGCTCTGCATCCACTGTTACTTCGGCATCATCTTCTAGCTCTGTATTTAATTTTCTTCTTCGTTTACTAAATCAGCCAAAAATGATGTCAACTCTGCCTCCTCTGTTACAGTCTACCAAAAAAAACATCTAAGTAATAGTCCGCATCAACCTGTGTTTTTTGCAGTCAGAAGCGATCATTTTGTCAGCAATAGTACATGCTGTTTCCGTGGTTGCATTAAAACAAATGTAACAATACAGTTTTATGCTACTATTGTATGTTAATGTAAAAGCATAAATTATTATCTATAAAATGCAGCCCGACATCCGCAAGACGTCCGACGAAAGTCCCTCGGACGACGCGTGCCCACTGGGAGCGAGGATGTTTTCTCAAAAAATGGATTTTCTTATTTAAAAAAGGTTTACAACAATTCCAGAAACACCAAAGTACTCTTTTTCATCGAGAAGACATTGAGAAGTTTTTAACTTATTTCATCGACTAAAGATATTAATGAACTTTTCAATAATAATAACCAGGAATATTCAGTTTCTCGCCAAACAAAGTATTGCTCTGTGTTGTGATTACAATACAGACATAGAGTATAAAGAATTTAATTCGAACTTTTCTCTTTTATGATGTTCACAAGTAGAGTTGAGATGTTCACAAGTAGAGTTGTTACTTGTGCACTTTTTGTTGCAATGAAATCTGTTACTTTTTACATATCGTTTTTTACATTTACTTTTTACATTTTTTTTTTTTTTTTTTTTTTGTAATTTACCTCCCCAAGACTGAGAAGGTCACTACAGACGGCAACTACAGATGAGGAGACTACTTGTGGTTACAACCCTCTCTTAACTCTATAACTCAGAAACACAAACCTTAACAAACAAGGCCGCTGCGCGAAGAAACAAGTTGGGCGCGGTACTACCAGGGACGTTGTGGGAATTGAACTCCAAACCTCTCGCTTGTGAAGCGATCGCTCTACCACTACACCACTACCACATATCCAAAATAAAACAATTCTTCTATCGCATAAAGATTTGTGCATCATTGTATGTTCACTAATATTTGCACAGCTAGATTATTGCAACTCTCTCTACTTTGGAATTGAAAAGACACTATTAAAAAAACCGGAGTCTGTTCAAAATTGACTAGTATTTAAAACTAGAGTAGAATATTATGTAAGCAATCAGGAATTTAGCTATTTGTGTTGGGTAAAATTTAGAGAAAGAATCTATTTCAAGGTTCTTTTAATAATACATAAATCTCAGAAGCAAGATAATCCCGCTTTAACTAAATGAATGAGAAAGTCGCGAGATAAATTTACATGTGCAACTATCCAAAATGAAAATCTGTATAATGAGTCTCACTATACTCAGGAAAAATTACATCCAACATTTCCGGAAAACGGTTTACTATTATGGTAGATAAAACCACTGATCAGCCTAACACTGAGCAAATGGTGGTTTGCTAATGATATGTAGATGAAAATGACTTAGAAGTGCATGAAGTGTTTGTCGGACTCCCTGACGGAGTTGCAGCACAAATTGACAAATTCTCGTTCTTGTTTGGAATTGAATAAGTCAAGACTACTTTATGCATAGTAGATCAAAAAGTTTGCAAAAGATTACACTTTCGGCTAGTGAAGGTCAGAAATTTGTTAAAAGAACTATATTATCTGAAAATTCGAGTTTTAACTTTTTCAAGAATATATATTTTGAAGCTATAGAATTGACAATTGGCAGAATTTAATCTAAATTTAAACAACAAAGATATTTAATGCTTCAAACGATAGAATCATTACTATTAAATGTTTGATCTGAAGGTAGAGCAACCGTGGCGCAGTGGTTAGAGTTCTGGCTCAGAACCCAGAGGTGCGAGGTTCGACGCCAGCTCTAGCCCAACGACATTGGTAAGGAAGGAGGCGTGAACTTCCTGTTAAATGCTCTCTTGCGGCGCTCTGTGATAAGACCGTAAGGACTTCTAGGAGCATCTAAAATAATTACACAAAAAAAAAAAAAAAAAAGTAGTTCAATAAATAAAAAAGTTTGCGCTTTCTATTCTACAGATTTGAATGCTTCAAGACATGCACAATTACAAGTTATGCTCAAATCCAAAACTGAACCCATTAGACAGTCTACAAAAAGTCCTTACTTTTGTCAGGTAAGATATGAATGGTTTTCCTATAAACCTTATTGTTATTTATTTAATAATTATGACTGCGGTTTATCTCAAATTGACTAACATATGCACTACAATGCGTATTTGTATGCTAATATAACACATAATTTTTTGTTTTTTTACAAAGAAACAGATGAAGTTGTAAAGGAATCATTTTCAGAAATCAGGAAGTTGATAAAACTTAACCTTCTGATACCAGCAACAAACACTACTAGCGAGAGAGCTTTCAGCACACTACGTAGAATCAAAACTTGGTTAAGATAACCAAGCTTGGTTTAATGAACCAAGCTTGGTTAATAAGGTAATAAACCAAGCCATGATTACGGCCAAAATTAGGGCCAAGCTTCGCAGGGCCCTAATATATATATATATATATGTATATATATATATATAAATATATATATATAAATATATATATATATATATATATATATATATATATATATATATATATATATATATATATATATATATATATATATATATATATATATATGTATATATAAATGTAAAAAACGTCATGTTCAGTATCATACTATTTATTATTATTTCGAGATATTTGATTACATAATATAAGTAGTAAAATACTGAACAAGATAATATGATCTACAATATTTTGGCTCATATAGCAAGCATTATTATAAATTAAATTAAAAGTTGCATGACCCAATATACCACTTTAAATAGTAATAAATAATATGATACCGAATAAGTTTTTTTAATTTATATTACTTTTACATATAAAGTTAAAGATACATACATATACATACATATTTATATACATACATACATACATACATACATACATACATACATACATACATATATATGTATATATATATACATATATATATATATATATATATATACATATATATATATATATATATATATATATATATATATATATATATATATATATATATATATATATATATATATATATATATATATATATATATATATATATATATATATATATATATATATATATATATATTAGGGCCCTGCGATGCTTTGAAATTTCGAATCAAATCAAAAATATGATTCGAGATACGATTCAAAAATTTTCAAAAATTTGAATCCTTACTTATTTTGTTTTTGTTATGAGCATTTTAGATATTCTGCGCTTTGGCGCTATCAAAATAACGTTACTTATCCTAAATACCTTTTTAATCAGTCATTAAAAAGGTTAGCCAGTACAAGAAGCATTAATAAATATATTATACAATTGTTTTCTTTTATTTTATTTTGAAATATATATTATTAAATAAAAAATGCTTAAATTTAGACTTCAAAATGTTGATTCGAAAAGTGATTTGAATTGCGAATCACTTTGATTCGAGATTCGATTCGAAACAAAAACTCCCGATTCGCAGGGCCCTAATAAATATATAAATGTAAACTTTTAAATTAATATAAAAAAAACTTTATCAATATAGATCTTTAATTGATTTAATTAATCAATAAAAGTTTGAAACACAGTTAATAGTTACTTTATAGTTGTTGCATCCATTGTATAATAGCATACATAGATATACAAAAATAGAAATAAAAAGTTAACTTAAATAAAAAACACTTATTTTTTTAAATGATGGATATATAAATGTGATTTGATTTCATGAAATATTTACATATATTTTCAGAAGTATCATATTTCAATCAATATGTATGGTTAAGTAATATTTATGTTTTAAAAGTATCATGTTTCAGTGTATCAGAGAAGGATTTAAATTAAAAATATTAATGACAATATCCTAATACAAATAATGCAAATAAAGTAGTGATTGGGGAAAGATTGTCTTCTTTTTTACACAGGTCATGGAGATTAAACGTTATGAGATTTACGCTTAAGTTAAGAGATTAATAATTGAAAAAATACTCTGAAATTTTTTGATGAAAATAAGTTTAGTTGTGAATAGTAAAAATATATTTTATCCACGTGTTGATCTCCTGTTTGGGAAAGCGGTCCAAAATTTTGGGGTAATTTTGTTCCTAGGCTCCAAAATTTTGGGGTAATTTTGTTCCTAGGCTCCAATCGTCGTAATTTTTTTTTGCAAAGCATTCTTGTTTGACATGGGATAATAAGATAACAATATAAAAAGGGCAAAAAATACTGGATCTCCTGAATTAAAGCAGGTTTTTCTGAAATAAGTATTTTAAAAGTTTTGAGTAAAATAAAAATAACTAATTATGATATTATGAACTTCAATAATTTTGTAATCGTAAATGACACTGAAAAATTACCATGGTTAGTTTATCATGGTAACATTTCAATAGAGAATTTTAATGTTAAAGAAACTTTCGGGAAAAAAAATTAACTTTTACAAAAATTCTGTTCAATTATTCATTGAATCCATTGTTAGAATCAACCTTAACGTAAGTAAGCGAAAAGTTTTTTTGAAATTCGAAATTGTAAAAGTAATAGCTATTTTAGTGCAAAAATACCGAAAACTGTTTTTTTCATTAAATGATCATATGTTTAAATTTAAATTTTAAGTTTTACTTTACATTACATTTTAGATTCTCTTTTCTAATACTAGGAGTTAATAAACATGCTTTTAACGGTAAGAAAGAGATCACAATTTCCATATTACTAAAACTATAAAATATTTACGAACTATCATAAAATTTACGACTGTCATAAAACTAAGTATGAGATCTAAGTATGAGTAAAAAAATTTAGTAATTATAAGAATTATAGCAAAAAACAAGAAACTATAACAAAAAATTTCAACATCAAGTTTTATGTTTGGTAGCGAGAAGTAGTTGCTTATTTTTTTTTTTTTTTCGTTAATTTGTCAATCAATGCGAAGAAAAAAAAAAAGCATTTAACTAAGAAGTTCACGCTTCCTTCCTTACCAATGATGCAAAAATATGCCCAGAACTTGCACCAAATCCTGCACCTCTGCCTATGATTGCTAGTACAAGCTGCAGAAAGTTGATGCCGAGTTGATACTTAAAATTTCTTTTTAAAATAAATTTCATAATTATTATTTTTTTAAACATATATGCTAGACCTATAAAATCACAGAACAAGCTATAAACTAATATAAGCGCATTCTGATTCGCTATGCGCAATCATATGCGCATTCTGATTCGCTAAATTTAAAAGGGAGGCATACGCTCAAAATATTTCAAAATGGATTTTAAAAATAAATAATAATATCTTTTTATTGCCAATTGTGTTTTACGTTTAAAATTTTCTGCATAACTGAAAAAACCGTCTACTAGTAATCCCATATATGGAAAATAAGTAATTATATAATTACTTATTTTTTCAAATACAAAAGTTATAAATCAATAAAAATATTATTAAATATTAAAGACTGATTTATTAACAAACTATTAAATTTTTGTAGCAAGAGCTAAAGAATTTCTTTAGCTCTTGCTATAACAGAAAAAGAACTTTCAGATTTCATCAGAAAAAATTTTTGTTCTTGGAAGGGATGAAATACGTGTTTCAAAACTTCGAATGGCAAATTTTTTGAATTTACCATAAAAAAAGTTTCCCCTGTGCGTTTAATTTTATATTGATTGAAATTATTAAAATTGATTCATTTTTTTGGCATCACTTGCTCGCTCTGAGCAAGTTTTTTCATTAAAATGTGCAATTGTGATATACTAAAGAACAAAACCCTCATCATTACCATTGCTAAAAATAGATAATAAAGAAATCGAGAGAACCCAATCAATAAAATATTTAGGGATACTTTTCGATGATAACATCTCATAGAAAGCGCACATAAACATGTCAAACACAAAAATCTCAAAAAACATTTTCTCTCCAAAGCTAGTTATACACTGTCTCAAAAAACCTTAAAGCTTTTGTACTTCTCGCTTATACAATGCTATTATATATATGCCAATATTGCATGGGCATGTACCTACAAATCAAAATTGGCCTCGCTCTATCGAAATCAAAAACATGCTGCAAGAATAGTTTATAATTAAAACAAATTCTCGCATGCTGAACCATATTTAAAACACTTAAAAGCAATAAATGTTTACATAATTAACATATTCCAAAGTTTGATGTTTATGCTAAAATAAAAACTTGGGCTTTTTCCTTTACATTTCTCAAAAAACCTCTCAAAATAGGCAAAAATAGATACAACACCAGAACAAATGGAACCATTAACGTATCCTTCAAAAAAAAATCTTTCGCGGTTTTCTATTAAATATCGTGGCCCTTATCTATAAAATAAATTAATATCCAAAAATACAAATTTGAAAAAATACAGTACTCTTTAAATAATATCCAAAAATACAAATTTGATAAAATACCTGAACTCTCAAAAATTATGATTAAAAAACTTCATCTTGAACGCAAAAAATCTTATTAACTTTTATTAATTCAAAAAATAAAATAAAAAAACTAGCTTTTTATACTCTATTTATATGTACATAAAAGGCTATTGAAAATCATGTATTATTATATTTATGTGTATTCGATTACAATTTTGACTTAAGGTGGCAGTATAGTGGGAAAAAAAAGTTTATTTTTTTAATACAAAATAGCATAATTTACGTTTATCATTAAGTGAAACTTTAAAAGTTTGCATAAACATGCAGTAAAGAAGAGACTACAATAATTTGCATTATATATATATATATATATATATATATATATATATATATATATATATATATATATATATATATATATATATATATATATATATATATATATATATATATATATATATATATATATATATATATATATATATATATATATATATATATATATATATGTATATATATATATATATATATATATATATATATATATATATATATATATATATATATACATATATATATATATATATATATATATATATATATATATATATATATATATATATATATATATATATATATATATATATATATAAGGGTGGGTCATAAAATTTTGTTTTTCTTGTAACAGGCTCTAAACATTGCTAATAGTTATTAATATTGACTCTATCAAATATGAGAATGATTGTGATAGATTTAAAGGGCGCAACTTTATTGGTAAAATTACCGGTACCCTAATAATTTGAAGAAAAAAAGTTTTTCAAAATCAGGTCAATCTGGTATTCAAAAGAAACGAAATTTTATAAAAAGTTCGAAAATAATAATCGTTTTATAAAAATCATATCGCCAAAAAGAATTATTATTAAAAAGCATGTGAAAATGCACCTTTTTCACTTTTAGTTAAAAAACTATAGTTATTATGCAATAAAATCTAAAGTAATAATTTTTATATAAAAATTATTATTTTTGAAATTTTTATAAAATTTCGCTTTATTTGAGTACCTACATCACATAATTTTGAAAAACTTTTTTTTTGAATAATAATAGGTCCTGCTAATTTTTGTAATTATAGTTGCGGGTGGAAGACATTGTTCAATCCATAAAAGTAAATACTTTTCTAAATTAGTACATAAAAAAACAACTTTTTAGACCATGGCCAGGTTAGCAACTCTAAAAAAAAATTTTATGACCCACCCTAATGTATATATATTTTTTAAACCGGGTGGTAACTAGAAGCATATTAAGCAGGTGACCGAATAATCTTTTGGCAAGGGTTTAATTAGTTAACTTTATCAGATTTCACTTAAAAAATACTACATCTATGTGAATTTGTGTGATGGCGGTATTGAGCGAAACAATATTTTGAAATTTTAACATCAGGGGGTAAAATTGGGGGAAATATTATTCAAATAAATTTATTCAAAGAAATTAAATTTCAAAAATCTGTCCAATGTATTGTCATTTAAATTTTGTTTCGCTCAAAGTTTTGTTATTTACTAGACGTTTATATAAATTATTATAAATTACTTGCTTCAAAAGTTTTGAAAAGACAGGAAGAACTGTGATAGGTCAGTGATTGTATAGTGTAAATGAATCCCTGGTTTTTATTTTTGCTATTTTTATTGTTTTTAGTTTATCTGGTATAGATCTTGTAATAATTTATGTTTTAAATATTTCAGATATTAAAATAGGTTTGTTAATTACCGATAAAACATTTAAAACAAAATTGCTTAACAAGTTTTTCATAATTTCTAACTTCCTAGTTTTAGGTGGTTCCAATGTAATCAATAAAAGTTATTTTTTATTCATTAGGCATTAATTTTTTCAAAACTAGGTAAAGGTTTATTTTTTCAAAATTATTAATTTTTTTAAAACTAGTATATGATTACATTGTCAATCATGATTACATCTATAATGACTACATCGATTAGATTAGATCGATCGACTTTAGGTTAGATTACAACGATCTTTAGGTTAGATTACAACGATCTTTAAAGATAAAAAGTCAAATTTTAATCTTAAGACTAAATTTATACAAATTTTATGCATACAAAAACTACATGGCCGAAGACACGGGTTTCGAAGTGGAGGGGCTTTTTCTAAAAAAAGTTCTCTATATCTAGAATTTTTTAAAAAATAAAAAAGGTCATTTAGTAAAAAAAGTGTGGGGGGTGGGGTGGGGGGAGGAAGTCGTCGGCTCTGAATTATAGATTAGTTAGAAAAAAAACCAAACAAATGGTCATGATCTGTTTAAATAAGTAACAGAATATCGAGAAATAAAAAAATATTTTTGAGTTTTGTATTTGCTTAAAGTTTTTTTATAACTAGTATATGAGTTTATTCATAAAATTATATTTAAAATAACTTTATATAAAAAAAGTCCTAACAATCAACTATAACAATAAACTTGTTAAAAACAGTGTTCTCAAAAAATCTCAATGCTCCTCATCTATCCCTAAATATAACTCCATGTTTAATATTGCGGACGTGAATATGACTACCGTCAAGATGCTAAAATTTTGGAATCTTAACAAAATTAGTCATATTGTAATGCCCAAATTTCCATTTTTGAGAGGCTCGTCCATCACAACGATTCATAACTGCTTTATCTTTATGATCAGAAACACCAAGGTCTAAGCATTGTTGAGTTACAAAATGCACGATTTCTCCCTAAAAAAATAAACTTTGAATAAACTTAACATCTATCTTAAGATCTGGAACTTTATTTTTTTATTCTTTGAGTATTCTTTTAACTTTTAACTTTTTTTTTCTTCGAGTTTTCTTTGAATTTATAGAAAATTTAAAACTGTCTATAATATAGATACACAAAATTTTATAAAGAAAATTAAAACTTAAACTAATAAAATTAATAACATTTAAAATATACTCACTGAATCTATATTATGTTGCCAAAGTTGGTTTCCTCTTTGCTTATGACATTTAAAAAATTCTATAAAAGCTCCAGGCGAAGCGACTGCAACATCAAGGCAAAATTTATCTTGAAAGATAATTTCTCCTTTGAGAGATAATTGAAAATGCTAAAATAATAAAGTTATTATGACAATTTAAGACTAAAATAGAATTTAATTTCTTTTTTATAATTACATATATAAATTGTATAAGAGAGAAAAACCTGAGCTCCACCTTCTCCATGGCAGGGATACAAGCCAACCTGATGCTTTACATTTTCTTTAACAACACCCATAGAGTCTATACACAGATTAGAAGCACCATTTCTTATCTAAATATCGGAAGTATACAAGGTTAAGCATTGATAAGGCATTTAAAATAGTTTTTCTAGATTTATATTTACTTGCTAATTAACATTGTTAATTACTAAAAATTAGACAATTTAAATACAGGTCCCAGATTTATATCACTATTTATTTATATTTATATCACAATGCTTTTGTGGTTTAAATATATGGAGTATATATCTGGTATTCATTCAGATAATAAAATTATTTACTTGACCAAATGTTGTATTTTTTCATTTTGTAATAAAATATAAGCATTTTTTTTTTAAAGAATTTATTTAATTATTACAATGAAAATTGACTGGTAGAATTTTAAAAAATTTATTGGTTTAACTGTAAAATGAAAATTGACTGATAGACATAAAGTCAAAAATGAAACAAATGAGTAACACAATAATAAACAAACAAAAAATAAATAAATATAAATAAGTAATAAATAATTATTAAAAAAAAAATCAAAAAAAAAAACTATAATAGAATGCCAATATAATAATATATTTATAAAAAAACAGAACAAACTATTAAATAACTTTTTGTTTTAATATCTAAAAAGTTTTCAGAGTTACAACACTAGCCCATCAACATGCTTGCCCAATGAATATACCACCCATTTTGTGCCTACTGCTACAATAGTTTCTTATCTAGCACATCCTATATTTCATAAATTTAATGACAGGCTTAATTACATTCCAACAATGATGCTGAGGTGTTCACCCAGCCAAAATAAAACTGAAACTTTGTCCGTTTTTATGTTACAGGTTAAACAGTATAAAATAAATTTTCATATTTTCAACTAACATTCAGACAACATTTATCTAAGTTGCTTTCAAGAATATTAGCTAAAAAGTGTTACTTTAATTTTTTTTTAACTAATTATTTCTTCCTTATGTCATAATTATTATTTAAAAAGAGTTTTAATAATTATTAATTTTTCTCTAGTAAAAAAAAAAAGTTATTCTGGATGTAAAAAAAATAATATAACTAAAACAACAATTTCAAGCAAAAACAGTCTAAAAACTTAACAATTAACTTTTGTTCATGATATTCTGGATGTTAAAAAAATAATATAATTAAAACTGTTCAATAGTCAAAGCTTTTAGTTATAAAGAGATTTGATTTTCTAATCCTGAATCTTTGATTTTCTAATCTTTATTCCTTGATTTTACTTATCAAGAGATTTGATTTTCTAATCCTGAATCTTTGATTTAGAAATATACTAAGTTTTAACAAACACTTTTTTTTAACAAAACTTGTGTGATTTAAACAAAAAAATTACAAACAGTATCATAAAAAATGAAAAAAAAAACTGCAGGTAAGAAAGTAAATTAATATAAATTTAAATAAAATTTAAATAAATGTAAACCTCTCCTTCCGCTGGAGGATAAAGGTCCGGAATTTCCATATCAGAATAAATATTCTCCATGTACCACTTAAATGATTTGCATTGCAGTTTTTGACGTAATTCAAGTCGTTGTGTTATATTCCCATACTCTTTGCCTCTTAAATTTGATAACAAAATGTAAAAAAAATTTAAACTTTCATTTATAAACACAACTTATAATTAAAATTCATAATTGAAAGACTAATTCTTAGATTCACAACTTTCATTAAAAAATTTAACAATTTTTTCAGAATATTTTTTAATGGCTAAATCTTCTTGCTTCTTTATTTTTTCTTCAATATTTTCAACATTTATTTTTTATTTCATTTAAAATATGATGCAGTAATTTGTTCTTGTAGCTTTAATTCTCAGTTTAATAGTTCTGAAGCCAGCTAATAGTAAGATTTCAAAAACTCTATGGTTAAGGTGTTGAATCTGTCATCAGCTGAAAAAATATCAGTTTCAACAGTACCATGTTGGGCTTGAATGATATCTTTGTTTGGGCTTTAGGTGTTAAGGCAACATAAGGAGCCATTTGAAACAACGCTGAGTTGATTAACTGAAGCAACTGCATAGCTTATTGTTTGGGGAGCCATGCACTATCTATAGTAGAGTCAGGTTCTCTATCAATTAAAAAAATGACTATAATACCTTATAATATTAATGGTAATGATACATCATTTAAGCATTTAAATTTATCTGTTTCAATTTTTAATTACAGTAAAAACAGCTATTATCCTTTAAATCAAAAAGTCTAAAATATGTATCAATTCCCATTATTCAGATATTTGTTGTGACATCAGATTTGAACATTCTGATTATTCTTTTGCTTATATTTAGCATTTTTTCACTTGACAACCTTATCTGCTTTTTGTTCTCCATAAGACTGAACACTATTTCTTTTTGTTCTCCATAAGACTGAACACTATTTCTTTTTGTTCTCCATAAGACTGAACACTATTTCTTTTTGTTCTCCATAAGACTGAACACTATTTCTTTTTGTTCTCCATAAGACTGAACACTATTTCTTTTTGTTCTCCATAAGACTGAACACTATTTCTTTTTGTTCTCCATAAGACTGAACACTATTTCTTTTTGTTCTCCATAAGACTGAACTCTATTTCTTTTTGTTCTCCATAAGACTGAACTCTATTTCTGATCAAAATGATCAGAAATAGAGTTCAGAGACTTTTCTTAGACTTTTCTTAGACTTTTCTTTTCATCAATCAGACAATATTGCTGTTACAGGTAACTTTAATGCTAACAACCCTGAATAACTTGACTCTTGTATTAAAGACTCTGCTAACACTAAAGTTATTCTTTCTCAATCTTTTATTCAGTATTATAGTTAACTTTGACTTATTTCCTAGACAACTTTAATCAATCCTTAATTTGGTCTTGTTTCTGACCCTAACTTGTTCTCAGTACCTCCTTATCCTCCTTGTTATCTTTTGGGTGTATTAGACCATGCTGTGACCTCACTAGAACTTTACAATCAAACAACTTACTCTCTAACAATTAATACAGGTTTTAATGAAAATATTTTAATGAAAAAAGGCTTTTATTAATGATTTTAATAAACCTTTTTTTCAATGGTCCAATTTTTCAACTTATTAACTGTTATAACAAAAAAGTTTGATCATGATTAGATGGAAGCAGAAGCAAAGGATCAAGATATGTCAAATACTTTTGATAAAGTCTGTCATGCTGGCTTACTTCATAAACTCTCTTCATATGATGTATCTGGAAAAATTTTGATACATTTCATTCTAAACACAGTATTAAATTAGCCTTTGATGGACAATACTCTTCTTTGTTTCCATTAATTTCTGGGGTACCACAAAACTATATCATAGGTCCTGTACTGATTTTCAACTATATAAACAATTTGCCTAACCTCTAAAGTTATTTATTAATGCTACAACTACATACTTGGGTCTTTTGGTCACTTTTTTATCAATAGAACAGCCAATTTTAAATGCAATCTCTCTTTTGTAACCACATTCTCTATCTCTCAGATTCATTACCTCTCAGATTCATAACCTTTCACATTCTTTACCTCTATAAATTGCTTAATAGTGTTTAATAAATTACAGTTGTCATATCTGAGCTGACTCTTCTAATGATGCTCTTTTTCTTTTAGACAAGGTACACAAACGCATTATAATTGTATTTAAACCGACTCTAGCTGCTTAGCTTGAGCATCTCTTACATCAGCATTAGGTTGCATTTTCTAAGGTCTTCTATCAACTGTTTTCATGTTCTTTAACTCTTCTATTTTCTTCCTATTTATTTTTCTGTTTTCTTTTATTTTCTACTCCCAAATTAAAAAGAAAACATACATAAAAAATTATTCTTGCAGCTTAATTATTAGTAAATCTGATAATAAGCAAATAAACATTTGTTTGCATTATATTTATAACAATTTTTCTGAATAAAATACTCCAGTTTTAAAATATTTCAAATCAACAAATTATTAAATGTTGCATTAAAATAATAAATTAGGAGTTACCAAAATAATAATTTAGGAGTTACCTAAATGATAAAAAGGAAGTAACCTAAATGATAAAGTTACCTAAATAAAGGACGTGATCTATAATAGTATTCTTTATACTCATCCATCCAAACTTCTGCTAATCGATTCAGATTTTTTGAAAGTGTTTCCGTGACACCTTTAGGAAAGGTGTATGGACTTGTTACTTTACGAAATATATGACCAACACGAGAACATGGAAGTATCTCAATACGACCCCCGCACATCCAAATCTAGAGCAATAATAATAATATATCAAAATAATGATTATTAAAAAAATTAAAATTTTTTTTTTTTTTAAATTTAGAATAAAAGTATTGTTTAACAAACCCTAAAAGAAAGCTCAAGATTTTCTCCTCCCCAAATATCCATTTCTTGATCATAACTTCCCATTTCAAAAAAATAACTTTTATCAATTGCAAATAAACCCCCAGCCATTGTTGGTGTTCTTAAAAAAAAAAAATTTACTAATACTGCAACTATTACAAATATTTTTATTAAAACAACAATTACTATAAACAAATACAACCCTACTACTATTACAATGGTTGCCTTTTACATTATTATTAGGTAAAAAACATGTTTTTTTATAAAGTAATTGAAACCTTATAGGATCAGAAGGTGATTGTCTCAGGTGTTTTTCATTTTCAGGTATAGAATTCCAATCATACATTAAGTCCCATGAAAAACCTCCTCGCTGTTCTGGATTGTCAGATGCTCTATATTCTAAGGTATCTGCATCAATTGATTCAATTGTGGGTACAACAACATTTGACCTTTTAATAGTAAGAATACATTATTAGTTATTTTTTAAAAGTAAGAATACATTAGTTATACAACCATTTGAAATAAGTATATTAATATAACACAAATGTTAAGCAAACTATAACCTAACTATTAAGCACTTCAATAAACATAAAAAATTGCATATTGTATCACAAAGAAAAAAGAGAGAATTTCAAATCATTGATGTTTGAGGAAAAATACTAAATGAATAGAAGTTTGAAGGATCAGTTAAAATCTTCGTTGGAGGGATCAGTTACAGAATAACGAGTAAAAATTCAAAAAGATGATGATGTAACAAAAGATGGATTACTTGCTTATGCAGCATTCATGGCAGTATTTGTAGAAAAGAGAGAAAGAAATAATGAAATAATCTACAATAATGGAACCAAGACTCAAACTTGGCAGCTAGAGCAGGTCCAACAACATTTACCATGTGTTTTTGGACACTATCTAAAAGAGAAAGGAAATTTAGAAGATCCAATCTAAATAAAAAAGTATAATTCTATATGAGGACATTATAAAAGCAGAGAAGGAAATTAGAAGCAAGTAAAGTTTTCTTTTGCTTTGATACATTTTCATACAAAGTTAGTTGTGAAACTAATCCAAAAACGCATTACATAACTCAGTAAATGTGTTGCCATTTACCAATAAAGGATAATTATTAGCTGAAAATATCTATAGTTTTATTTAAGTTAAAATTTACCTGTTGCAACCCCCATAACTGAAAAAAGTTAACAAAAAGATAAGATTCAACATTTCAAAAAATTTTCAGACATACAATAAAAAGTGCAATAAAACCTTTTTGTTATTACAGTTAACAAAGCAGCTGTAAAACAAAAAGTCATAATGGCTGCTTTGCTAATTGTAATTGTTGTAACCCATTTTATTATTTATTTTAAATGGATTTTAATCCATACTAATAGTAAAACAATCAATATGGAATAAAGTAATGGAAAAATAACTTTAAATAAACTTGAACTTAAGCTTAAGGCTTCTGTTGCTAAAGTCATATCTCAATTAAACTCGTCTACAGCTTGTGGTCCAGACAACATTCCTGTCACAGTCTTGCAGAATTGTTCTCCAGAACTTTCTTCAATTCTCTCTAAACTATTTAACAAGTGTTTGACTGAGTCTTGTTTTCCTGCTTGTTGGAAAATGGCATCTGTGGTTCCAATATTCAAAAACTCTGGAGAAAATTCTGACCCCTCCAATTATCGTCCGATCAGTCTTCTTTCTGTTATTAGCAAGGTCTTTGAGTCTTTGATCAACAAATTCCTCACATCTCATCTTGAGTCAAATAAACTGCTGTCAGACAATCAATACGGTTTTCGATCCTCTCGCTCTTTGGCCGACTTGCTAACTGCTGTAACTGAAAGATTTTATCGTGCATTAGATGGAGGCGGTGAGGCTAGGGCTATTGCTCTCGACATATCTAAAGCTTTCGACAAAGTTTGGCATGCTGGTCTTCTCCATAAGCTTGCTTCATATGGTGTTTCTGGGAAAGTTTTTGAGATTATCAAATCATTTCTTTCTGACCGGTTTATTAAAGTCATCCTTGAAGGCCAACACTCTTCTTTATTTCCAGTAACTTCTGGGGTTCCCCAAGGTTCCATCCTGGGCCCTGTTTTGTTTCTTATCTACATAAACGATCTTCCTGACAACCTTTCATCTAAAGTAGGTCTTTTTGCTGATGACTCAACTTTATACTCCTGTCTTGACAAAAAGTCTTCTCTTTTCGATCGCCTAGAACAAGCAGCTGATCTTGAATCTGATCTCACTTCAGTAATAGATTGGGGTTCACAGTGGCTTGTGAATTTTAACTCTAAAAAAACCCAATTGCTTACTGCAAACAACTACCGTAGTATGGTCAACATTCCTATATTAATGAATGGCAATCCTCTTACTGAGTCGTCCTCTTTACGTCTTCTTGGATTATCGCTTACTACTGACCTTTCATGGAAACCATATATACAATCGATTGCTAAATTAGCTTCTGCTAAGGTTGCTTCTCTTTATCGTGCTCGCCATTTCCTTACTTCTGATTCCATTCTCTACCTCTACAAATCTCTTATTCGTCCCTGTATGGAATACTGTTGTCATATTTGGGCTGGTTCTTCTAACGATTCACTTTCTCTTCTTGACAAGGTCCAAAAACCAATGTAAATGTTGTTGGACCTGGACTATCTGCTAAGCTTGAACCTCTTTCCCATCGTCGTAAAGTTGCATCTCTTTCTCTTTTCTACAAATACTATCATGGTCACTGCTCAAAGGAGTTATCGTCTCTAGTTCCATCAACTAAAATTCATTCTCGTTTTACTCGTCATTCAGCTAAGTCTCATTCGTTTACTGTATCTGTCCCAGCATGCTCTAAAAACTTTTATTCATCTAGTTTTTTTCCCCGCACTTCAATCCTTTGGAACTCTCTCCCATCTTCATGTTTTCCTGACTCCTACAACCTTCAACTTTTCAAGTCTTCTGTCAACCGTTTGCTTGCTCTATAACTCTGCCCTTTTTTTTTCCTAGTAACTCCCAACTTAATAGTGGTTGCTTGCAGCCTTGTTGGGAGTGAATGCAAATAAAAAAAAAAAAAAAAAAAAAAAGCTATTTTGAAAAATTGTGTGAAGAGAAAAAAGTGAAGAGTTTAAATGAAATAAAGCAGCAAATAAAGTTAGTGGACCAACAGAGTTGATATGTTGTAAAATGAAATTACCTATTTATAGAACCTAGTTAGATTAGGGTGATATAAAACCCAGTAATATAAAATTAATGATATTTTGGGTAATAGCTAACTTTGTGTCACCCTGTTAAATGCAGTATTTCAAACTACTAATGAAATTGAAATTCTTAACTTAAAAGATTAAAAAATTAAACCAAAGTAAAATAAAATAAATATTAAACATATATTATTCAAGTATTTAATATAATTTAATATAAGTTTAGAGTTGAACATTAAATAACAAAATTATTAAAAATGTTTTTAAACTTTTAGGCTTCATATAGGAAAAAAAAATTGACAACAAACAATGAAAAATCCTGAAATCCTTAAAACTATCATTTTTGATATCCTTTGAATCTCTGCCTATAATAATAGATAAGTAAAGCAGGTTTATAATTGATAGATTTCAGACATCTAAACATGTAATTTTTTCATTTTAGAATTCAAAAAGTTATTAAATATTTTTGGAGCACATTAATAACCCAAAAAAAAGAAAAGAAAATTTTATAAAATCTCGAATAAAAATCTAAATTTAATAAATAAAAATTAAAGCACTTTTCAAATATAAAATAACATATATACAATAATACATATAGCAAACTATAAAAGATAGAATTTATAATTATAGTATTAAAATCTACTTTTAGAAATATAACAGTAGATATAATAAATTAAATGCATAAATATAGTGGTATGTAATATAAAGTTATAGTCTGGTAATAAAAAATGCATAGTATAATAATATGTACAAATAAAAAAAATTTATTTTAATTATCTTATAAAATCTCAACCTATAGCAAATGTTTACTAGTCAAATTCAGCCTCAGTCAATTAGTATGTGTATACATTAAGTGTTTGTATAGTTACCGTACTTGGCTTCATTTATTCTTGCAAGGAGAGGTTCAATCCAACCAGGGGTGGTTTCACAATGTGAATCTAGGAAAATCAAAACATCTCCACGTGATTTTTCAGCACCAGCTAATCGCGACCTTATTAATCCAGATCTTTCTTCATTGCGTACAACCTGAATCTTGTCCGAGAGTTCATTCAAATGTTTAACTAATGGAATTTTTAAGTCGTCTAAAAAAGTTACAAAAGAAAAACTGAACAACTATTTTCAATACTAATATGTTAATAACACTAAAACTTTAATACTTCTGCAAAAGGTTTAATGTAATGCACTGATATATTTCATATGACATGTGTAATATCACATGTATTTAGGTTGGAATTATTCTTTCAAGCCTAATTGATAGTGAACCAGAATAAAAAAAAGGATACACAACACATTACAAATCATATTATTATGTGTTATGATAAAATGATTCTGCATTTTAAAAAGCATTTTTAGAGGTTGTACTAAATTATATGGTTGCATACTTTTATCTTAAGTACATTTTCAGCAAAAATGACTTAATTGTCTAACATGAAGGGTATAAAAATATCTTACAATGTATGGAAACAAAAATGATTCATTATTTGCACTTTGAGTAAAATTCAAAAACCATATGTCCAAAATAAATTAAGAGACATGCTAAACTTAAATCTATCTAGACTTATGCTCATTTAGTATATGGAGTGTTTCTAATATTTTCTTAAAAGTTGTTTTAGGAATATACATCAGGGTTCCTACTTTTAAAACTGTGGCTAAATATAAGGATTTTAAGGAGATTTAAGGAGATCTTTTCCTAATATTTGGTCGGAAACAACAATTTTTTGAAAGAAAAAGTAAAGAGAGTTAAGGAGAAAATGAATACATTAAAAACAGAATCTTATTTTTTTTCAATATATTTTAAATAATACAATTAGAAATTATTATAAATCAATATATTACTTATATTGATTTATAATATATATATTATAAATTAATATATATATTATAAATCAATATATATATATATATTATAAATCAATATATATATATATATATATACATATATATATATATATATATATATATATATATATATATATATATATATATATATATATATATATATATATATATATATATTTTTTTATTTGCATTCACTCCCAACAAGGCTGCAAGCAACCACTATTAAGTTGGGAGTTACTAGGAAAAAAAAAGGGCAGAGTTATAGAGCAAGCAAACGGTTGACAGAAGACTTGAAAAGTTGAAGGTTGTAGGAGTCAGGAAAACATGAAGATGGGAGAGAGTTCCAAAGGATTGAAGTGCGGGGAAAAAAACTAGATGAATAAAAGTTTTTAGAGCATGCTGGGACAGATACAGTAAACGAATGAGACTTAGCTGAATGACGAGTAAAACGAGAATGAATTTTAGTTGATGGAACTAGAGACGATAACTCCTTTGAGCAGTGACCATGATAGTATTTGTAGAAAAGAGAAAGAGATGCAACTTTACGACGATGGGAAAGAGGTTCAAGCTTAGCAGATAGTCCAGGTCCAACAACATTTACATTGGTTTTTGGACCTTGTCAAGAAGAGAAAGTGAATCGTTAGAAGAACCAGCCCAAATATGACAACAGTATTCCATACAGGGACGAATAAGAGATTTGTAGAGGTAGAGAATGGAATCAGAAGTAAGGAAATGGCGAGCACGATAAAGAGAAGCAACCTTAGCAGAAGCTAATTTAGCAATCGATTGTATATATGGTTTCCATGAAAGGTCAGTAGTAAGCGATAATCCAAGAAGACGTAAAGAGGACGACTCAGTAAGAGGATTGCCATTCATTAATATAGGAATGTTGACCATACTACGGTAGTTGTTTGCAGTAAGCAATTGGGTTTTTTTAGAGTTAAAATTCACAAGCCACTGTGAACCCCAATCTATTACTGAAGTGAGATCAGATTCAAGATCAGCTGCTTGTTCTAGGCGATCGAAAAGAGAAGACTTTTTGTCAAGACAGGAGTATAAAGTTGAGTCATCAGCAAAAAGACCTACTTTAGATGAAAGGTTGTCAGGAAGATCGTTTATGTAGATAAGAAACAAAACAGGGCCCAGGATGGAACCTTGGGGAACCCCAGAAGTTACTGGAAATAAAGAAGAGTGTTGGCCTTCAAGGATGACTTTAATAAACCGGTCAGAAAGAAATGATTTGATAATCTCAAAAACTTTCCCAGAAACACCATATGAAGCAAGCTTATGGAGAAGACCAGCATGCCAAACTTTGTCGAAAGCTTTAGATATGTCGAGAGCAATAGCCCTAGCCTCACCGCCTCCATCTAATGCACGATAAAATCTTTCAGTTACAGCAGTTAGCAAGTCGGCCAAAGAGCGAGAGGATCGAAAACCGTATTGATTGTCTGACAGCAGTTTATTTGACTCAAGATGAGATGTGAGGAATTTGTTGATCAAAGACTCAAAGACCTTGCTAATAACAGAAAGAAGACTGATCGGACGATAATTGGAGGGGTCAGAATTTTCTCCAGAGTTTTTGAATATTGGAACCACAGATGCCATTTTCCAACAAGCAGGAAAACAAGACTCAGTCAAACACTTGTTAAATAGTTTAGAGAGAATTGAAGAAAGTTCTGGAGAACAATTCTGCAAGACTGTGACAGGAATGTTGTCTGGACCACAAGCTGTAGACGAGTTTAATTGAGATATGACTTTAGCAACAGAAGCCGGAGTGATTTGAATGTCTAACAATGGGTCAACCTGTTTGACTGGAATGGAAGGAAGAGAATGTCCATAAGATTCAAGAGTGGAATTAAAAGAAAAGTTCTTTGCAAATAGTTCTGCCTTATCCTTGGGAGAGGTAATAAGATCAGCCCCATGAATGAGAGATGGAATGTTAGATATACCCTTGTTAACAATGTTGTTGAAGATTTTCCAAAAGTCTTTAGAGCCTAACTTCTGCGATAAGATGCGAGATTTAGTAAACTGAGAATAATGGAGTTTAGCATCAGAAACCTTTTTCATCACCTTTTTACATCGATTTCTTGCAATAATAAAAAGCCGTTTGTTCTCAAGAGAGTTGTTCTTTTGAAAAAGATGAAAAAAATGGTTACGATTGGATATAGCAGCCGCACAAGAAGGAGAAAACCATGGAGTAGAATGAGGCTTGACTTGAAACCGACGAGAAGGAATAAAAGCTTCCATTCCAGCCTGAATCCAGGAGGTTACGTAGGAGGCGCATTTGTCAGCTGAGAGAGAAAAAACATCAGCCCAAGGACCATCACCAAGAAAATCACGAAAGGAATCCCAGTCAGCTTTAGGGTAGTAGTAGGTGGTGCGATGATAAGGTGAGCCCAAAAAAGAAGTATGAGAAGAAAGATTTACAGAGATCATTGCGTGGTCAGAACCACCTAAGGGAGAATACATATATATATATATATATATATATATATATATATATATATATATATGTATACATATATACATATATATGTATACATATATACATATATATGTATACATATATACATATATATGTATACATATATACATATATATGTATACATATATACATATATATGTATACATATATACATATATATGTATACATATATATATATATATATATATATATATATATATATATATATATATATATATATATATATATATATATATATATATATATATATATATTTATATATATATATATATATATATATATATATATATATATATATATATATATATATATATATATATATATGTATATATATATATATATATATTTTGACTGTTCTTCTTTATTTCTCCTTATTATTAATATTTTTTTTAATCATCTAGGAAATTTTCTTAAAGTGAATGGATTATACTTATTCATAAAGAAGAAAATATATAGTTTTTTTATAAATTGCAAACTTATATTTTTCTTTTATATATATATATATATATATATATATATAAAAGAAAAATATAAGTTTGCAACTTATGAAAGAACTATATATTTTCTTCTTAATGAATAAGTATAATCCATTCACTTTAAGAAAATTTCCTAGATGATTAAAAAAAAAATTAATAATAAGGAGAAATTAAGGAGAACAGTCAAATTTTAACTTTTTTGAAGTTTATTTAAGGGCATTTAAGGAAGCTTTTATTTTTTTGAGGAAATTTAAGGTTTTTAAGGAGGAGTAATTTAAGTGATTTTCAACCAATTTATATATATATATATATATATATATATATATATATATATATATATATATATATATATATATATATATATATATATATATATATATATATATATATATATAAAGTAATATATTGATTTGTAATAATTTCTCTGTGTATATATATATATTGGTGTGTATATTTATAAACACTCTATGACATAACATAAACTAATTTATATTTGTTATACCATATACACTTTTGTCATCTACAAGAATAATATCAACAAGTAGCTCAGGTGGTGTGCGATTCAATACACTATGCACTGTTCGTAGTAATACACTCAGAGCCTCGTTATGGAAACAAATAACAACACTTGCTGTAGGCAATTTTTCAGGATAGAGATGGTGTTTTTTGGCACAACTAAAAAAATAATTTTTTTTTAGATTGTTGTTTCTACATTTAAAAAAAACATATATAACACAATAAAATATTTAATGCAAAGTACATTATATATTATAATAAAACATGCACTATAATGTAAAAAATATGGTAATAGAAGTATAATAAAAATGCAAAAGATGTAACACAAAATCAATTGTATTCACCAATTTTATATATTTATTTTATAACAATTTTATAATATATATATATATATATATATATATATATATATATATATATATATATATATATATATGGTCAGGTTTATCCTGCTACTGGTATGATGTAACCCAGTACAATCTGCTTTATGTCCTGCTGCCTTGTAGAATACACCTTAATAGGCAAAGGCTAGAAGATGCCAACTCCAACATAAAACACCCTCTGCCTTGGGGCTCTTAGTTGAGTAAAGGCTAAAGATGGTGTCTCGATAAAAATACTCATCTTGGGCAGATGTTAAATGCATCCAGATGCTGTCTTGTAGAAGACCTTCTAGGCAAAGACTAAAGGGGTAAACAGATTCTATCTGTTGACCAGCCTCTTCTTCATCTGTTAGGCTACACAGATGTATTTTAATACATTGTTTCCAATTTAGAATGTTGAATGCTGGATCTTCTTGACTCGATGCATGGGTTTTGCTTGTGTCTGTGTTTTTATGACTAGGCAACTCATTCTATTATCTCCTAATGAGGGTACAGCTGTAAAACTCAGTTTTATGGTTCTGAGGCCAGCTGGTAGTCAGATTTCCCAAACTCTGTGGTAGCTCTCAGAGAGGCTGATTCCATCAACAGCTGCAAAATATCAAAGTACTAACAGTGCCAGGTTGTGCATGGATGGTGTCCCTGTTTGTACTTTTGGTGTGAATTGCTAAGGCCACATTGGAGCCCTTTGTTACGGCTTAGGGTTTATTAATAGTGATGAGGCAATTGCTTAGGCTATTAAACAGTGTAGTGAGTACTACCTATGTTTTTTGTCAAGTTCTTTAACAAATTTAAAAATCAATAAAGTAACAAAAACTATAAAACACAAAAAACCACATTAATCACCAAGTTTGCTAAACCTATCATTCACCAATATTTGTGGTCTTAGAAGTAACTTTTCTTCTTTTGAGTTGTATCTCTTGCAAAGTTCACCAGACCTACTTGCTCTTTGTGAGACTAATTTGAGTTCAGCTGTCTCATCTTGTGATCATAGTGTTGATGGCTATCGTCCTTTAATTCGTAAAGACTCCAATAGTCACATGCTTGGTCTGGGCATTTACATTCGTAAGAATTCACCCATTTGTCGGTAAACTAGGTTTGAATCCACAGACTACTTTTTTATCTACTTTCGTTTAGCACCACTTCACTCTATCACCTTTCTCTTTGTTCTATATCGCTCTCCTTCATCTCAAACTGCACTTTTCTTGATGCTCTTTCTGATCATATTGACTAACCCCTCTTTCTTTATCCATCAGCCAATATTGTTGTTGTCTGTGACTTTAATGTTCATCACACTGAATGGCTTGGCTCTAGTGTCAGTGATTCTGCAGCCATTAAAGCCCACAACTTTTGCCTTTCTTTTTTGCCTAACTCAAATAGTCAACTTTCCAACTCCCTTTCCAGACAATCCGAATCATTTACCTTCTCTACTCGACTTATGTCTTGTTTCTGATCCTAGTCAGTGCTCAGTCTCTCCAAATTCACCCTTAGGTGCCTCTGATCACAGTTTGATCTCTCTAAAACTATTATCTCATTCTTCTTTACCATCAGAATCCCTCTATCATTGTACATCTTACAACTACCTTAAAGCGGACTGGAACTCTTTCCATGATTTTCTTCGTGATGGCTTTTGGGTAGAAATCTTTCGTCTTCCTGTTAAAAAATGTGCTTTTTACATAACTTCATGAATTCAGGCTGGCATGGAATCCTTTATTCCCTCTCGACGAATCCAGGTCAAGCCTCACTCTTCTCCATGGTTTTCCTCACATTGTGCTGCTGCAATTGCCAATCGAAACCTTTCAGCATCGAAATCTATCAGCAAAACAAAATCGAAATCTATCAGCAAAACAATTCTCCAAAAAACAGACAGCTGTTTACTACTGCTAGGAACCATTGTAAAAAGGTTTTATCCAACGCCAAAGCCCGCTATTCTCAGATCATGAAATCTCGTATTTCATCACAAAAGTTAGGCACTCGTGACTTCTCGAGAATCTTTAATAGTATCAATAATAAGGGCAAGTCTGTAATTCCACCTCTTTTGTATAGTTCAGACTTTGTCACCTACCTAAAGACAAAGCTGAATTGTTTACTAAAAATTTTCATCAATATCATCTCTTGATTCCACTAGTTGCGTTCTACCTGAAATAGCCGTCAAACAGGTTGATCCATTGCTCGACATCCGTATTACTCCAGCTACTGTATCTAAAGTGATTTCCTTCTTAGACTCTTCTACAGCTTGCGGCCCAGACAACATACCTGTTATAGTCTTGCAGAAGTGTTCTCTGGAGCTGTCGTCTATCCTTTCAAAACTATTTAACAAGTGCTTATCAGAGTCTTGTTTTCCAGCCTGCTGGAATGCAGCATCTGTCATCCCTATTTTTTAAAATTCTGGAGAGCAATCTGATTTGTTTAACTACCGTCCCATTAGTCTTCTTCCTATCATAAGCAAGGTTTTTGAATCTTTAATTAACAAACTTAATCTCTTATCTTGAATCTAATAAAATACTTTCTGATTATCAATATGAATTTCAATATTCTTGTTCTGCAGCATATGCTACACATGGGCTGTAGCAGAAGTGAGATCTTTTTCAAGCAGAAATTGAGTTTTATCTGAATTAAAGCTCACAGTGGCTGGTGAACTTTAATTCAGATAAAACCCTTTTTTTTTCAGCTAATCATTATTGCAATAATTTAGACCTTCCTATATTTATGAATGGTAATGTACTCGATGAGTCACCTAGCCTTCATCTTCTAGGATTAACTCTTACTTCTGATCTTTCTTGAAAACCATATATTAAATACGTTGCAAAATTAGCATCTGCTAAAGTTGCATCTCCTTATCGAGCTCGACACTTTCTAACTCCGGATTCTATTCTCTATCTCTGTAAATCTCAAGTCCGTTTTTGTATGGAACACTGTTGCCATATCTGGGGCGGATCTTCTAATGATACCCTTTTTTTTTAGACAAGGTGCAAAAACGCATTTTAAACATAGTTTGACCTGCTCTTGCAGCCAATATACAACTTTTGTCACATCGTCTTAATGTTGCTTCTCTTTCTCTTTACTACAAATACTATAATGGGCACTGCTCTAAAGAGCATCTCTTGTACCATCTACTAAAATTCATTCTTGTGTTACTCGTCATTCAATTAAGTGTCATCCTGTTTCTGTTACTGTTCCTAAGGGCTCCAAAAACTTTTATTCGTCTAGTTTTTTCCCTCGAACATGAGTTCTCTGGAATTCATTTCCTTCATTTTGCTTTCCTGATTCATATAATTTGCAATCTTTTAAGTCGTCTGTCAATCGTTATATTGCTCTACAATCTTCAACTTTTATCTTCCAGTAACTTCCAACACTAATTAGTGGTTGCTTGCAGCCTTGTTGGAAGCAAAAATATTTAAAAAAATAATATATATATATATATATTTATATTTATATATATATATATATATATATATATATATATATATATATATATATATATATATATATATATATATATATATATATATATATATATATATATATATATACACATGAGTTAATTTTGAAAAAATATATAGTATAAATGTTTCAATGTTATACCACTTTATCTTTAAAAAAAGTTCTATATCACAAGTGTATTTGCAAAAGAACTATTAATAATTTATTTAGGTAACTAATTATAAAATCTTCAAAGCTCATCAAAAAAAAACAACAAGGAATATAAAACTAGGTTATAAACCTGAATGAGAAATATAAAACCGGATTAGATCAGAGTATGAAAAAAACACTTAGTTTTCAAAACTACACTTTAATTAAAATCAAGTGTTGAAGTATAAACAACTCATTTAAGTGTTTAAATTTAAACTTAAGGACTTTGATTAAGATTATGATATAAACTAGTAAAAGTATTTATTTTTTAAAAGTATTGGCATGAGTTTTAAAATGTGCAAAATAACATAATTGAAATTATTTAATTTGTAATAACATAATTGAAATAATTTAATTGCATAATTTAATTAGGTAAAAAATACTACTCATAGTCATTCCACAGGATTTTTTTTGTCTACATTTTTATTTATGATTATTTATATTTTTATTTTGATTTTTATTTATGTTTAACATGGTTGTATAGAGATAAAAAAAACTGTAAAAATATATAGGGGTCTTTCAACTTTAAAAGTTTAGTGGATCCGAAGTTATTTTTTAGGCTCATTGCACGACACAATTAGCTTTAACTGATAAAATACTTGTTTAATAGTGGTCAAAATTTCTACCTAACCATTTTTTAAGGTGAGGAACTTAAAAATGATGGCTAAAACACACAAAAATTCAAGCTTCTATATAAAAATTCAATTTTAAAATGGTGTAACACTTTTTGTAAGTTTTTTGATGCTCTGTACAAAAAAATGTTTATTTCAAGATGCCTAATAGATAAAATTCTGAAATTTTTTCCTTATTTTTTATATATATCAAACTCCATAAGTTTATATATCACATGATATAGTTTATCATGTGATGAAGCTAACAATTGAACATATTAAAAGCAATATTTCTCATCAAATAGAAAGTGTCCATTCCTTTTCAGATGAGTGTACTAGCCAGTACAAGAACTGCAAACACTTTGTTAATATATGCCACCATGAACAAGATTTCGCTATGAAATGTACCTGGTCTTTCTTTGCAATAAGTCACAATAAATCACCCTGTGACGGTATTGGTTTAATTGACTGAAAAAAGACTAACTTCAATTGCTAGCCATCATCGAACAACAACAAATCATGTTCTTACAGCATCTGCAATGTTTAACTTTTGCCAAAATGAAATCATAGGAATTAATTTTTATTACATATCTAAGGAGTCAAACACAATAATTCGAAGTGAAATGGGGAAATGATATACAACTGCAAAAATGTTACCAGGCACTCCTAGCTATCACAATTTCGTTCCAATAAGTAATACAAAAATTGGAACTAAAGTTGTTTCTAAACAATTGGAGTATTCATTTGTTTTTAATTTTCAAACTGATGAGATTATTAAAAAATTCTTGTATCATATAATCATTAGTGTGTTTGTATGTTTGATATATGATAACAATCCATGGATCGGACTAGTTGAGAAAATTGATGTTGAAAATAAAGACTTTCATGCATCCATGTTACCCTTCAAGGTCATATTTTTGGTCTTCTAGAGATAATGTTTGCTGGGTTCCATCAACAAACTTATTTTGTTAATGATTAATATTCCAACAAATTAATATTCCAACTTAATTTGTTAATGATTAATATTCCAACAATTGTTACAGGAAGACAATACAAAATCAGTGAAATTGATCACCAGAGCAATAAAGATAGCTGGGCAAACTTTAAACCAGAGAACTAATTTGTTGTCTATCAAAGATTTTGTAATTCTTTTTTTTTTAATTTTTAAAGATTGCTAATTCTTACTACCTTTTAGTTTTAATTTTTTCTATTGCAATTTAATTATTTCCATGGATTTAGTGTAATTGCAATATTTTTTTTGATTTATTATTATAAGACTTAGAATGCAAATAAATTTGATTTAAAAAAGAAAACCCTTCCAGATTTTTTATATCATGGAGTTTATTACATATAGAACATTAGGTCAGGCCTTAATATATTAATAGGCCTTAGGTATCACATAACTTTCTTTGCATTTTTAGACTCGATACCTTTAATACTTTCAAATCCTAAAAGAAAAATCGTGTGTAACACTTCGCCCCAGAAATAACTCCGACAAAACTTATTGGTTTTATACTTTTGAAATATGATAATTAGCCAACCGCACAGTGTTACGCAATTTTTTTTTTTTTTTTTTTTTTTTGGAGAGAGCTTTTGGATTACCTCTGATATTAACTACAATTGATATGTGCAACTTTTTGCCTTGCCAAAAAAATGGGTTCAAAGGTGGAAAAAACTAAATTTCAAAAATTTTTTTAAAAACTCTCAAAAATTTAAGCCCGGTTTCCGAGTAAAGGATTTCTCTATATTCTGATCAATATATAAAAAATTAAAGCAATTTGGAGGAGGTCACTTCCATTGACTGCCTGATTCTTATAAAAAATGACTCATAAAGAATATAAATGAATAGTTCATTAAAAAAAAATCTTTATACCATATATTGCGTAATTTTCAACACACCCAATCATCTCATCTTAGGAAGCTAATTTCCTAAAATGAGCGTTTTCAAATGGAACTCAAAAAAACTCAAAATAACAAAAAAATAATCACAAAAAAAAAAAAAATTAAATAAAATTGTATCTTTTAGAACTATACTAAAGTATTAAGTAATTATCTCAACCATAAAAAAAACAATAATAAATCTTTCCAATCTCTGAAAAAGTTTGCGATATTATTTTTTGAAAAAACTTTTAAAATACCAAATTTTTTGAAAAAACTCTTGAAATACCAAAATAATGCTCCGTGGAGAATAACTTTAAAAAAACGCGCTTTTCTTAATAAAAAGCCGCAACTCATCTTAAGCGTCTGAAAACAGCATACATCTTTTTTTTATTTTTTATTTTTTTTTTAGTTGATTAAGGTCCCCCAAGAAGTCCTTGCGGTCTTATTACAGAGCAACGCGGAACATCATACAGCACGTCATACAGCAACTTCACCAAGCACTATCATAATTTAAATAGCATGACAACAGCTTATGTATTATCTCGTGAACTAAGGAATTAGTAGAAGATAAACATAAAATATTTAGGATGTAATAAATTTTTTATGACCTTGTTTCGTTCTGACGTAATTATAAAATATTGAATAATAAAAAATGATAACGGGGATGGTAAATTTTTTCAACAATAAAACAATCAAAGAATATTAACTATGTAACCAAGAAATTAAAAAAAATTTGACTGGAGCTGGCAGAAAACAATGTATTGACAGACTTTCGACCGGATCTGACAGAAACTTCTTAAGTATTACGTCATATTAAATTGATCTCATTAAAAAAGTCCAATATTCTAAATGATATTTTTATTTTATTCTTTTTTACTGCCACTAAGCTACAAGTTATCTAACAGCAAGATAAGGTTTAAATTTTAAACTTGTAAGAGGTTCCGATGATAAGATAATTATGATCGTCGTTTACAAAAAACAAACAAGCAAGCTTTCAGAAGGTTGTTGTTTTGTTTTCGTAAACAACGATAAATATAAACAAGAAGAATAAAAAAACTTTGTATATGCGAATGCATGGTAACCATGCTTAAAATCTTTATTTTCAGAACACCTTGTGTGCTTAGGGAAACTTAAAAACAAGCCCACTGCTTGCCCACTGGAAACTTCACATTTAATTTTAGGTATCAGTAGTTACAAAAGTGATGTAAAAGACTCGTAAATTTTGGAGGGACTTGCCATAACATTATTAGTAGTTGTTCATAGAGTTGTTAGAGTATATAGTTCATAGAGCAGCCGTGGGGCAGTGGTTAGTTCTACCTGAACAAAAATAGGCCCAAGCAAATGCTCTTTTGACAAGTAATAAAAGAATACAATACAGAAGACTTTTCAATTGAATCGGTGAATGTTAAATAGATGGAAGTCCAACTGTGTAAACTTTCGGAAACTAAAAAAAACTGCATTTTCCCAAGGGTCGTCCTAAAGAGATATTGTAGGGAGGGAAGTGCGTATCTGTTTTTTTGTCGACTAACTTATCTAAAAAAAAAAAAAAAGGTTGTTTTTAGCCGACATTTGCGGACTGCAAACTCTAGATCCAATTTTGCCGACTCCATTATCCCATATGCCGGCTAATAAAATCCCTAGGGGGGTTAGACGCTATAGGCTAGACACCGTAGTTTAATAAATTTTTTTGAAGAGGGTAATGTTTTTTACCTTCAAAAGTAAATTATTGAACCATTAAAAAAAATTCACTACGGGTAAAAATGCAGTTTTTTTTAATTTCCCAAAAGTTTACATTATTGGACTTCCACCCTTTTAACATTCACAGATTCTATTTGTGTTGGTTCTATTATACATTTTATCTGTTTTGGTTTCTTAAAAAAAGTAACAAGTTGTAAATAGTACATTACAGTTAAAAAAAATAACGTTTTCATATTTAAGACTCTTTTTTAAAAAACAGTTAGATAGCAAGTGTAAGTACCCTCTTTTTATTTGTTAAACTGCTCTCTATGTATGTATGTATGTATGTATGTATGTATGCATGTATGTATGTATGTATGTATGTATGTATGTATGTATGTATGTATGTATGTATGTATGTATGTATGTATGTATGTATGTATGTATGTATGTATGTATGTATGTATGTATGTATGTATGTATGTATGTTTGTATTAATTTTACCAAATGTTACCATTTTAGAATAGGTTGTTTAAATAACAAGTTAAATTCTCAGGATTGTCAATTATGTTAGATTGGATGGCCTTTTTTTATTAGGAAGTTAAAATTATTTTTAAGAAGTTAAAGAAATTACTTAAAGAGATTTATTAAGAAGTTAAACACCTTACTCAATTATCTCTTATTAAAAAAAAACTTTTATCTTTTAAATATTTTTTTCGCTTTTATATGTGTTTTAAAATGACCCTATTCTACAATAAAAAATGTCTCGTACGCAAAAAACGAACAAGAAGTTTTATTTTATAATATTGGAACAGAATTTTTATCTGAATTTTGAACTATTTTGAAAGAAAATAATATATACAAATATATATATATCGAATCACATCTAATTTATAACCAAAAACAGAAAATTTTTGTCATTTTTATTACTATATTTTAATCATTTCTTTTTATTATTATTTTTTTTAATTATATTAATACTTTTTTTTTTTTTTTTTTTTTTCTTCTTTTTAACTTTGTTTCTTAACATTTTAAATTGTCTTTTTTAAAATACTTTTGCTTATATATTACGGATTATTGTGTATTACGGATATTTATTTGCGTAACTATTGGGGCTCGGTGATAAGGCTATTTTATGCCTTCTTCTTGCTCCAGCCAATTGTACTTTTTATATTGTTGTACTTTGTAAATATTTTTAACGGCGAAATAAACTAATAAACTAAAAAACTAAAAAAAAAAAAGTTGAAAAGGTTCAATGGAAAGTTACTACGCAATGGAAAAGTATTAAGCATAAGTAAATTACAGGGTTAAGGGGTTGTCCATTAATTACGTCAACAAAATAGGGGGAGAGTGTCTGAACTTTTTTGACAATTGTTGACACGGGGGAGGGGAAGGTCAATTAAAGTTAACGTCAACAATTTTTTTTTTTAGTTTCATTGCCTAAATAACGGAAAATTAGGCTGAGTTTGTAGCGTAATTTCTTTATATAGGGGGGGGGGGGGGAAGAATCAAAAGTTGACGTAATTTTATAGGGAGGTCTCTGGAAATTTGACGTAATTTTATAGGGAGGTCTCTGGAAATTTGACAAATTGTTAACAAGGGGAGGGGGAGGTAAAAATTTGTTGACGTAATTAATGGACAGCCCCTAATGTTAAAGTTGAGATAAAAATAAAAAAATAGTAATAATAACTTACTGTTCTCCTCTTATATCTTTTTGTGTTCTATCAAGAGATATTTTATTACTAAGAACAGAATTAAAGGAATGATTTTTGAAAAGTTTTTCTGCTAAAAGTTTTTCTTCTTCTGTATCAAGGTATGACGCAATTCCACCTTCTCCTTTTGCAAACAATATAGGCAATTTTTTACTAGCATCATATATAGCGCGTTTTTTTAGTTTTATTATTTTTTCTTCTGGAACATACTTACTTTTATAAAAATCTTCATTATATTGAGATTTAAACCAAGATAAATCAAAAAACTTTTTTATATGGGGAGCTAAAGGATAAACATTGACGTCCTGCATATAATTAGAGTCTGCACGTCTATTAGAAGTAAAGGCAAGTTTTTCGAGACTTGAGTGCATCATACCATTGTTGTAAACAATAAGCAAAATAATGTTAATAAAAAACCATATTGTTGTTGCAAGAATTATGGATAATAAAACTTTTCGCGTAGTCAACTTTGCTTCAGCCAATGTCATTTTCAAGTGTGCTTGATTTTTTTAAATTTTCCGGGTCTCACATGTAGACTTATTTTTTAACTTTCTGTCTAACTTTTATAAATTTATACCATGTATAGTAATTGTCAGCAAATAAATTGTAAATTTTAGCTAAAAGGTTTTTCTATTACTCAATAAAGACAAATATTTCTAATTTACAGAGATAAAGTTTTAAAAAAATTAACGTAGCTATAACATACACTAGATGTTTTATCAAACTTTTGCTTCACTACTTGTTACTTAATTTATAATAACTGTTTGTATGGAAACAGACATTTTTTAGCCATTGTTACGTAACCGAGTGACGCGAAACTTAGTGGTAATCAAGTAATATTATTTTAATTAAGCAAGGTTAATAACCTCAATTAGAGATCCAAAAAATGATTAATTAAAAACAACAAAACAACTAAAATTAAATTTTGTGGTTTTGTATTAAAAATAAAACTTGTGGTACCGATGTTGAGTCAGGTTAAAAAATAAACTTAGGCTTCTTTATTTTAAAGTTTATATATATTTTTTTTTATAAAGAGAAAAATTTAGTTATAATTAACTATAAATAATATAGCACTATATAGTTTTAGTATACAAACACTTTAACTATAATAATATAGCACTTTAACTATAAATAATATAGCACTATATAGTTTTAGTATACACTTTATGCGCATGCGTAATTTTTAATTTTTCTTATATTTCAGCGGAAATTTTTTTAATTTTTTAAATTTAGTGTTTTATAACAAATAATAAAAAACATTGACGACATAATTATTTCTGATAAGTTTTACAAGTTTTGCAAAATTTTCCGCTATTCTTAAGCGATCATAATACGATACACAAAATACTAGATTAGATATCACTAATCTAGTAAGGAACTTAGTTCATCGCGACTTTGGAATTATCGTGTTTTATTTCCACATTTTTGAGTTTTGAGATTTAAACGATTTAAAAAATAAAAACTTTGAGATATATATTATAATATATTATAATATATTATAATATATTATAATATATTATAATATATTATAATATATTATAATATATTATAATATATTATAATATATTATAATATATTATGATATATTATAATATATTATAATATATTATAATATATTATAATATATTAGAATATATTTATAACTTATTTTAAAGAGTTAACATCCTATTTAATTTTTTTTTATAATTAAATTAAGTTAAAACATCAGACATTGTATTTAAACTTATCCTTCTAAAACTCTTTCCAATATAATATACATTTCTTCTAGAAATATTGTATATTATATCAAAGCCCACTAGAATTTTAGGTGTTATGCTATGTTTTAATTTAATTTTATAACTTATATTTTCTCTGCAACGTTTTTACTTGTAACTTAGGTTTCAATACATTAGAATAACATTATTCTGAGATACATAACGCAATCAATAACTTAACATTTCCCAAAAGTGTATATAGAACAAGATCATCCAAACGTTACGTAATTTCAACATAAAACATAAAAGAAACTATAGGCCGGGTGAATAAAAATGAGCAATTTCTTTAACTCATCAATTGATCAGCTTTACGTAAATAAAAACTTCAGCAGTTTTGTTCAAATTTTTATTCACGTAAAGTTAAGCAATATAATCAGTAATTGCTCAGCTTTACGTGAATAAAAACTTAAGCAAAATTGCTGAAGTTTTCATTAACGTAAAGCTATTAAGCAATTACTGAGTTAAAGCAGTTGCTCATTTTTATTCACCCGGCCTAATACACTATTTTCTGATTACAGTTGAAAAGTTGAGCACGCATATTTATTGACATGCGCAAATCTAGCGGAGGTAAATAAACCAAATCGACAGAAGTTTTTGGTGCTCTGTGAAAAGACTGTTAGGTCTTCTTGGGGCACCTAAATAAAAGAAAAAGAAAAAAAAAAAAGAAAAAATGGGCCAAAAATGTATATAAGTTGGGCATACTCCTTTGGTTTTCTTAAACATTGTTTCTTGTAAAAGTTAACCGAAAAAAAACATTCTATTAGATTATTTTAGATACATAACACTAGGAAGACGGGCTTCCCTCATAATTATGAGGGAAGCCCGTCATAACTATTTTATATCATGTCAAAATTTCACCAATAATAATAAGATACAATAAGTAAAAAACAAAATTTATCAACAAAATTGTTTTTTCGTTTAATTGATATAATATTGTAGTTTTACAATATTAAAAATAGAAAAATATTCAAACTTAACATCACTGGGATGGGTTATCAATCTATAAAATTAGTTTTTTTTGAATAAAGTTACATCTAATATTTGATCATAGTATATAGTAAAATGTTTAATAGATAAAATTGTTCAAGACAAATATAATCATTGTTAAAAATTGAATTTCCATAATTTTTTTTTTAAAACATTTTTTGACGAGGTACCATTATTTTACTAACTTTGGCAAAGATATTACAGAAGCGGTTTGACCGAAACTTATCATATTTGGACAGTTTGTTAATTATGAATCAAAATGTGCAACTACCATCAAAGTTATATGAACATCTGTGTTAAAAACTAAATATAGCCATTTTTTAGTCACCAGGAGGGGGTAGAGAATCAAATCAGTATCGTTTTTAAATAATGTATAAAATAATGTATGGTCTTAAGGAGTATGTTTTTTCAAAGATTTACCTCTAACATCAAATTAGTTATAAGCAAAATTTTATTCGATAAGATTTCTTGCATTTTGAAATATTTTTGTCACAAAATTTGGCAATTTTCAAGTTGGCCCCCATGGAAACTCCAATATTTTTTTTTTGTTTTTTAAATTATTTTTATCTAAAAATTCAATGGAGTAAGCTATGATAAGCTCGAATCGCATAAAATTAAATGCAAAGTTAACCAAGGTTTCATTCTAACCTCCAAGGTTTCATTCTAGCCTCCAAGGTTATATTATTGCCTCCAAGGTTTCATTCTAGTCTCCAAGGTTTTATTATTGCCTCCAAGGTTTCATTCTAGCCTCCAAGGTTTCATTCTAGTTCACCTCTTTAATGATCTTCCTAAAACAAACAAGATGCCATAATATTTGCAGCTGATACTATTTACATTAATCATCTGCTTCTGTTGTAGAACTTTTCAAAACTACAAGTATTGAATTTGAAAACGTTGAAAAATATGAAGTATTGAAAGTATTGAACTTGTAATTCATGCAAAAATATAAACTGGGACCACCTTTTTTTTAATAATTTTTAAATGCAATAGAAATGGATATGACATTCGAATAATAATTTTTTTTTTTTTTTTTTTTAATTTGTTATTTTGGTGCCCCAAGAAGTCCTAATGGTCTTGTCGCAGAGCACCGCGGAAGTGCATTTTAACTAGGAAGTTCACGTCTCCTTCCTTACGAAATATGTCCAAAGCTTGTTACGAAATATGTGCAAAGCTTGCGAAATATGTCCAAAGCTTGTTTTAGAACCAAAAATAGTTATTCCTTATGTATATTTATCTGCTGAATTCAAAAATGGCATTAAAAATTACATACTAGCTCTAATTTAAGATATAAAAGAAAAAAATTTCTCTCAAGAGTATAAACTTTCATTTTTTGAAAAAGATATTTTTGTTTTGTTTTTGACTATCCATAATGTTTTATCCATGTTTAAAACTTGAGATATTTGTTATGCCTGTTTGCTAAAGCTTCTGGTATAATCTATTCTTAGTTTTTTTTTTCATTTACTAGTGTAAAAATTGACAAATCAACCTGCGAAGGAATTGTGTAAATTTAGTGGACAATTTTTGTTACATTTGTGGTGAAATAACAATTTCCTCATTGAAAAGACACCTCTTGTGAAGACTGCTTACCAGCATTACTTTAATGTGAAGGTTGGGGACCAGGATAAGTCATTAGCTCCACATTTATGCTGTAGCTCTTGCTTAATTACACTACAAGAATGGTTGAAAAATAAAAAAAGATCTTTGGCTTTTGCTGTTCCTATAGTATGGCGGCAGAGGCGAATTTACGGGTGGGTGGAGATCACAAAATTGTGAGTTAGAAGCAGAAATGAAGTAGCAATAGAAAAAAAAAGAAGAAAACAAGCCTTTCACATCAAATGATCCTGATTTTGAAGTCAAGACTTAAACAGTGGAATCTTCTCCAATTTGATGTCAAGGACTCACATTGCAGAAAACGGCAGCAGAATCTGCTTTTTTTTTTTTGGGAAGAAAAATAATCTTATTGTTTGCATTGATGTCTTTTGATTAATGTACTGTCTTAATTTGAACTATGATCTAATGAATGGAAATTATTCATCTAAGTTAAGCTTGAAAGTTGTACTACTGCACAATGGAAACCATCTTCCTTCTGTTCCTATTGGCCATGCAGTTCACATAAAAGAGACTTATATAAATCATAGAAGTTCACATTATGTAAAAGAAGTCACACAATCATAGAAGTTCACATTGTATAAAAGAAGCCACACAATCATAAAAGTTCACATTATATAAAAGAAGACAAAAAAAATTTCAACGCAGATGAAAAAAAATATTATCGCTGAATCACTCGTGGATCCAAAAGATGTTCTTCTTTCACTATTACATATTAAGTTGGATTGAATGAAAAATTTTGTTAAAGGTATGAATAAAAAAGGACAGGCTTTTAGGTATTTAAGAGACAAATTTCCAAAAATAAGTGATGCAAAAGTTAAAGAGGGTATTTTTATTAGGCCACAAATACGTCAACTAATAAAGGACCCTGCATTTGACAAAGTTTTAAAAGAGCAAGAAAAAAAACCCGGAAACTTGGAAGCTCTTAAGCAAATGATTTGTTGATTTTTAGGTAACAAAAGAGATAATAACTACATTCAATTGATAACAGTACTCCTGCAAAAATAGCATAAACAACATGTTCCTCAATATTCATTTCCTCCACTCAAACCTAGGCTTCTTCCCCCGCCGGGGAGGGGGAAAACTTTGGAAAAAATAAACTTCGCTATATTTAAAAAAAAACTAAGTGACAAAATAATAGCAGTCTTTAATATCAATAAAGATCTTGGAATTACAATGTCATCAAATCTCAAATCATTGTACATCAAAAGCTTGTTCAATGCTTGGAACGTTTAAAAAAATATTTCATTACATCCATAAAAAATGTTTAAAAAACTATGCAACATTTATAAGACTCCATTTTGAATTTGCGATACAAGCGTGGTACCCATATCTTTAAAGTGGTACTAATGCACTTCAAAAAGTTCAACGTTATGC